AATTTAATTTATTAGACTATTTCAAAGGTTTGTCGCATGGTTGCTTCCAACTTCTTAAATTCGAACCATTTGTTAACAAAACAACTGTAAGTGAAGTGATTGTTGACAACATGAATTTATTTTTACGTTATCAAATTCGTGCCTGTTCTTATTCCTCTACTCAAACAAATAATTGTTCACAACACAACGAACGCTATTTGGAATGTAATTGTTTTTTATGTGTCAATTCTTAGTAAACGTTCTGGTCTTGGGGCAGTTCTTGTTTATATATGAAATAGATTTATTCAAAATATCGTAAAAAATCACGTGTGCGTGAGCAATTGTTCACGCCGATCACTTTTGCAAGAAAAAATTTCCCGACTCCACGAATACCATTTCTTCCGAAATAAGAGTTGTGTATTGCTGTTGTATAAGAACGATCTTTTGGAGAAAGTGCACTCCATGCATTAAGCTTTTTTTTGACGTCAATCCAGGAAGAGAGATGGTAAAGATATTCCGGTGGTATTAAATCTGTTTCATATTCACAAAAACGTCTGCATTCTAAGCATTGTGCAAGGCAAATTGCCATATGATTTCATTCCAAATTTCATCACAATCTTCCGGTAGACAATTACTAGGACAGGTAAGATTATTAAGAGACTGGTTATTCATACAACAAGACGAACAATATATATAGTATAAGCAAGCTTTCATGTTTATCGGTAATATACTAATAATAATCATCTTCAAATTAACTTCCTGAAGCCTCAAGATTCAAAAAATCGTCTCTTCGAGCCTACTCCCGCAATAATTTCTAAATTCGCTCTACTAGGAATTGATTTTTATATAAGATTGCCCATTAAAAAACGTCTAATTAATGATATTTAGATTAGTATACTTGTGGGAAAATCATCCGAGATCGTCCATAGATCCCATTCATAACTATCCATATCAGGTGAATATAAAAGGGGGAACTTATTTATTACTTGTTTTCTCAACATGCCAAAAGGAATCTATTCGTACATTTTTGTCATTTCCCGCAGTGATTATCAATGTCTTGGCGAGTTCTGTAGAAGATATAAAATTGGGATGTTGCTTTTAAACAAAAATAAGTAATGGAATTAGAAAACACTCCTATTATGAGGGAAACAGGAGATAAGAAAGTATACCTTTTTATTGACAATTCCAACCTTTTTATCGAAGGGAAATATTCTGTTGGACATCATGAAAGTTAGGCACTATCGATAAAAAAAGAGGAACTCATTACTATGATCTAATTCGCATCGAACATGGACAGCTTCTCAAAATAGTTCAAAATGGGCGTCCGCTGGGTGCCGAACCCTTTCTAGTCGGTTCAAAACCCCCTAGTGAAGATTCGATGTGGAAATATATTCGGGGATTAGGATTTGATGTCACTGTATACAAGCGAAACTCTCAAGACCGTGAGAAAAAAGTCGATGTTACACTTGCTTGTGCTATGCAAAAAACAATTGACAAAAATACTCCAGGTGTACTAGTATTAATAGCAGGCGATGGCGATTATGAATTCCCCATAATAGATGCTATAAAAAATAATTGGATTGTTGAAGTATGGTTCTGGAAATCAGGCGAAAATACAAATTTTACGAAACTTTTTTATCTACCTGCACTAAAATCCTTTTTACCATCTCAACTGAAATATACACAAAATAATTTATTTCCAATAGCTACGTCCAATGATTTTCAGAAGAAAGATTTTCGTCAGCTGGATTGTCACTATAAAATTTTTACATATGGGGATGAACATACTCCCAATGAGAAAGTGTATACTCTTGAGCTTATCAACGAGAAACTTGAAAAGTGGACAAACATAGAGGCAATGCAATGTTTTATTAAATTCGGCTTGTTTTCTAGATTAAAATGGATAAATAGTACGACTTTGTATTTACATTTCAAAGAACGGGAGCATATGGATAAAGCTAAGCAATGGATAAAGGAGCACTATGAACTAGAAGCGAACGAAATAATTTAGTTTTATATTATCAAATGTATTTGTATAAGATGCATGATGCAATAAATTTCGCAAATTTTATTTGATAAAAATTAAAGTGTTACAAATTGTGAATGAAACATAGCTCTGATACCAAAGTCGGAAGAAATTTGGCAGAACCCGGCTGTAATTTTTTTATTTAGGGATGGAAGTCGACACTACCATTTGCCATTTCGTTCAAAGTAAGTAAGCGGGTAAGTAATTTCGATAATTTTGCGTAGACATAAAAAATCTCGAACATATGTGGATGTGATTCCGTTTCTTATTTTGAATAAATAGCATGAAATTTCATCACAGAAAAGTAATTAATTACATCAAAATTACTATGAATGTTGTTGTTGGCAATGTTTTTTATTTCATAACAATAAAGCTGGGTGTTGACAAATATTAAAAAAATCCATTTACATGCTCAAATAGATATTCTCATTAGGCATATTTCCTGACTAATATGAAGTAAAGACATGATTATGTCCGCAATATAAGTCTTTCACTTTATTCATTGCAAGCAGTATTATCTTCCATATCTTGGATCAAGCCATCTAAAATAATTTAGCGCCAAATAATGAGTGCAAAACATCCTAATTTAATATCGTGTATTATTGTGCAATCACCAGATCTTCTTTTTTACAAATAAATAAAAAGCATGTATTGTTGTTGTATAAAAACGATTAAGCTTATTTATTATGGAACAATGGCACTTACGTGCCTGACATCAATTCAGGGCCTACCTATCAGAGAAATTATGCAAATATTATGATCGGAAAAACGTCTAATTAATTAGTGTGCTTGTTATGTTATTATTATCGCAAAGAACATATTGACGAAAAAGTTGACGAAAAAAAAAATTTTGACAAAAAAAAAAAGATAGTGAGAGAGAAAAGTATAACCATTTCACAAAGAAAATTTTTGTAATAATCTGCAATAATAATTTTTATTTAACTTGATTTACATTTAAAATATTATTTTAAGAGAAAATTTAATGGATTTTTAATTGTTTACTCTTTTGCCGAGTCAATTTTGGATAAGCTACGTAAATTGTGCTTCTTCTAGTTTGCATTTTTTCTAACTAATTTTTGAGAATTATTATCATCATCTTCATTTGTATTATTTCCAGAATTGTTATCAATGTCAATATCATAACATTCTTGTCCTAAATAATATTTCTATCGGTTTCATTAACTTCGCAATAATAACTATTTTCTGAATTATCTTCACTTTCAAATTCATCTTCAACAAAGATATCTTTTACTAAATCTTTTGGATCATAATTATTATCAGAAAATTCGCAAGTTGATTCATCTTGATAAGTTTTGACTATCGTGTGGCATTCTAATGAAGAAATTTTTCTTTACAATATCTCCTTTTTGCCATATTTCCTCATTTTCTTCTTTTCGTCACATTTCGTCAATTTACCACATTTTACCATTTCGCCAAATGTGACGAAATTAACAATGATTTGACGAAATAATTTCCCGCCTAAAAAAAAATAGTTTCAAGTTTAAGTTTTATTATAAAAGATTAAATAATAAAAATTAAAGATCTATTTATTAAAAGCATGAAAAGTTCTTGGAATGTGTCAATTGAGGAGTGAATTATTTCAAAAGAAAAAATAGTTGGAAATTAAAAAATATGGAAACCTTTATAAAAGAAATCACAATGCAATTCCCATAATCAAAGAATCTGTTAGTGATGATAATGAAGATGAACTGCTTGATGCAAATGAAGTAACTAATGATATGATAGAGATGATAATATTGAAAATAATGACTGAACTCTAGCATCTTTTGAAGGAGAAGAGGAGGATTTAGATGTTTTTGAAGAAGGAACTGGTAATTTTATTAACAGAATTGAACATTGTGTAGAACTTGCTCAAAATTGGATAAATATGATGAAGATATTTCTGATCTTTTAGAATTTATATTTGTAAATCATACTATACATCCCACTGATGATCCAATTGCCAAATGGAGTCTGTGTAGTATTTTTAATGATAATTTAGAATCGCCTGATTTTGTAAATTCATTTGATTAAATGTTAAAATTTTGAGTCAAATAATACGATTAGATCAGTAAGTGACAGTGTCATTTAAAATTGACTCTCAAATGACCTAAATGACTAGTCATTTGTTATTTGAGTCATTTGAGGTCATTTAGTCATTTGTCATCACTGTCAAAAAAACGGGTCTGGGACAATCAAAGTAAAGCCGAACTTGACATAGAAATGGTCTTGCGAGGAACACCACGACCTCCACAGAAACCACAAGATCGTAATCGTGAAATACGGATTCAAACAGTATTAAATGACCGTAACATTAGATTAATTATAGAGTTTCCTCGGGGCATTGTCCATAATATTTCATTTTAAAAATTTTTTCGTGTACT